CGTGCCTCGGGCCCTTTACCGTTGAACTTAACCTACAGAAGACAGAGTGCAGTTACATCAATGGGTACCTCCGACGATTACCTCTGCGCCTCCAAATAGCCACCACATGGCTCACAAGGCCCCTCATCAGCCACAGAGATGCCAGCAAATGGTCCAAGATGGGCCAGGGCAGGAAGCTGGCCACAGAGCAGCTTCCTCCCTTTGAAGTGTCATTAATCCTCAGGCCTGTGTGCGCATGAGTGTGTGTGCGCTTGTGCTTCTGTCTTGTGAGGACCAATTAGAAATGGGATAATGAGACTGAGGACAAGAAGCTGCAAAAGTATTTTTTTACACGTATAACATCATATATTTTTGGTGTGATGATCCTTTCTGATACGTTCATTACTTTATAGGCCGTAACTTTCATATAAATAAAGATGTGCTTTACCGTTGAAGCATCTGAAGAGGTATTACTGTACCTCATGTGTGCCATTTCTGATACTGAGCTGCTGGGCCACATGAAAAGAGACAAAGTACTTAAAAAGTCTGACAGCCTCACTTTTAATACCTCCTTGATTTTTTTTCGTGGGTGTTCAGTTTCCTCGTGCTAGATAACATGTGTAAACAGAAGCTGCAGAGAGGTCCTGAGGAAACTAGTCCAGAGCTGGCTTACGGATAGATGCGGAGGTATTTGAGTAAGAAGATGTAAAAACATGTTTAAGCGGGACATGGCTCTGCCTATCAATCCCTATAAATGTGCTCAGAGCGCATACTTGATTAGAACAGCGTGCGAGAACCTGCTTTTATGAGCCACGCAGATATTAGGATGTTACCAAGTGTAATCTCTAATAGGAACGGAAGACGTCTCCTAAGAAGGACTGCAAGATGCACCAACTTTATGAGACATTTTTATCATTATGTAGACTTTTAGAAATTATTTCAAGCTGTTACAAGAATTAAGAACACTTTTGTTATTAGCCTATCCTTTTGAGATGCTCTGCTTTATTCTATCCTATAATAAAACAATCTTTAAGTTCATTACATAGAGATCAGTGCTTCCCAAATAAAGATGTATTTAAGGAAGTGGAGCTTACATATAATCTCGGAGAAAGCATTTGCACACTTCATTTATTAATCTGTTGATGTTTGAAGAGGCTTCCTGACCATAGCTTGCCTCAGTATATAAATATTGCAAACATTGGAGTGTGATGATGCCACTTCTATGATTAAACAATTACTTAAATAAGTTGATCAGTATTGAAAATAGATCACAATTACTGGCAGACATTCCACTGGTTTGCTATTGTATGCCCAAGTTACAACAGTTGATGTGCTTCCGTTTCTTCTTTTGGCTCTTTTGAGTGGATTAAGGGAGGTGGTGTCACATTAGTTGCACCAATCAGGAGTCAGCATCATTTGACTCTGAAAACAGTAAGTGGATTATTCAGGCAGGACTTATAATGTCTCATCAAGCCACACAGCCTTGATGAAACATGTTAACAGTGTAATTCTGCAGCTCTGAAGCAACATTGTCTGTATTTAGCATTCAGCATGTGCCACATTTACTGTCTCTCTTGCTGCCCTATTTCCCCCTGTACCGTACCATCGCAAATGTGCACAGGACTAATGTGCATTGCATAGGACATGCTGGAATAGTACAGTGTGGATGAATCCGACCCACTCAGAGCTATGACTGCGTATGAACACCATGTTTTATTTAGTGCACAACCAGCTAGAACACCATAAGGACATACTCAGTGAATCGGACAAAAAAAAAAGTGTATTGGATTAGAATTGCTTACTCTAACTTTAACTGCCCTTTCTACACTCAATAAATAATATATGCATTCATAAATAATACCTAATGATGTTTTGTTTCTTATTTTTGGTGCTTGTGAATATTTCATGATAAAAACAGTTTTCAGGCGCTTTTAAAAAAACAACAAAAAACAAGACTTAAGGTAGCTAAATAAGAGGCAAAGGGTGTGAGATTTTTCCCCAGGAAACATTTGTAAGAGGGTGGAGAAGTTGTCTCACCTCCGCTTGGTGCCACCAACAGCTACCAGCCTGATCTCTCACAGCTGAAACATAATAGATCCTTTTAGACCCCGAACGCAACCCCCGTTGTCTCTGTCACCCTCGCGGTACGTGATGTTTCACAGCTTTTACAGGATTATCACCACGAGTTAACAGGGTCTTAAATAACTGACTGGCACCAGGAAACCGTGCTAGGAATTAGCCACCTGCTACATCGGCCATGCGCAAACACAGAGCGGCCGAGAGAGATGTGGAGGAAATGTCCTCCTGGGGGCAACGATGGCGTCAAACAAGGTTGAGGTCGCTCGGCACCTCGCACGCAGCGCTCAGCAGGAAGTGTGGCTTCCTTGAGTCGGAGCTGTGAGGGCAGAGGTCAGGGAGTGGGATCGGCAGATTGTGTTACCGCCCCCAGATGTGGCAGTGGACAGCCATGGCTCCAGTCTGGAGGTGCCCCAAATGTGGCGTGACTGCCTGCTCAAACTTAGTTCTGCAGAAACTGAGAGTTTCTATTCTGAGAAATGCCATTCCTCTGTAACACAGGAGTGTCTTGATCTCTTTTTAAAAACCTGTGTTCTTTTAAGGCTTTGTTTAGCCCGTTTTCTATTTTTAAGCTTCACATTTACACGTTTTCCTACCTTGAAACATCAGCTCGACACTTCTCCTGTGCAGCTTCATTCAGGCAGCGTCGGTCTGTTAAATGTAAAGTGTTTCTCAGGGCAGAAAACGCAAAAGGAGAGGAGAGTTTGTTTAAGATTTATGCTGTATGTATGGATCATGTGAACCTTAGCGTGGCTGTGTTTTGGAGCCTGTTTATATTCTGGGTAAAATATTTCCAATAGCTCTCGTGCTTCCTCACTGGTCCGTCTGCCCCTTCAAGACTGATGAGCTTGAGAATGAGAAACAGGTGTGTGTGTGAAATGTGGGGATCACTGCTTTATCTCCTTCTCGCTCCCTTTCCCTTCTCTCCCGGCCTTTGTGAGCCAACGACGTGGAGCTGCGTGTTATGACAAAGAAGGTAGAGGCAGGAGAGCGAGCAAAGAAAACACAGAAGAAGATAGGATGATCAGGCTTTAAGAACAGAAGATAGAGCCATTTTTCTGGCGATCAGGTGTGATGTCACCTAATCAGCAGATACCCACAGCCAATCCACAGATCAGTAGACGCTGTAGAGGACAAGATATAAAAAATATTGCAAAAATCACACTAGAATAAGTTACGTGCTATACAAAGCCTGACAAGAGATCTGGGAGAGTTTTCTGAACTCACATTTACTTAGTCAGTCTGACTTTAACAACATCAAAGGCTATAATATGTAAAGCTGCTCAGATCATCTGTGGTAGTTGTGAGGCTATTAAAGCTAAAAGGTCACTAAGATTACGTGTGAAGTGGACTGTTTAGCATCCATCAGTCTACAACAGGGGAACAATAATGAAGATCAATCAGTCAGTCACATGCTGGAGCGTTAATACAGCCATTAAACAAGAAGAACAACCAATCACAGAGAACAAAACTACTCCGCAGACTTAAAAACTAATCAGTTAGGTAATTAGTTCTCAAATGTAAGAAAATTAATGGTAGAAGTCAAGTAGTTTGATTAGATCACTTTCAGCAATCCACAGCTTTGTCTTAAAACCACTATTGAGTGACTGCTGTTGTAGCCTATACTGTACTGTGAATAAACTCACTGGTGATCCTTAACCTTTCTTCTTAAAGCAGCATGACATTTGAGATTTTCAGTGAAATGTCTTTAAAACTAGGCTACTCAATGAATTGTCAAAGCTTGGTGAGCCTTTGAATTTCCTGCAGGCCCAGCAGCAGGTCAGAAACACGATTTGATGTTGGTTTATGACCAAATACCTGCTGCCAGCTGTACGTTCTGCACGTTGAACACACATTAAACTAATCCTGATGGTAAACACGATGCCAAGTTATATGTTAGCACACTCACAGTAGGCTTTAGCTTAACGCATGGCATCGCACATTTACTGGCATGTCAGCTCTTTTTATTGCAGAGTTCATTTGAACTGAAGTATTTTTAGTGGATGTTGTCGGCCACTGCTTACAGGAATACTGACAGTGATTTAGGTTAATAAGTTGTTAACAAACAGATGCAGTTTTGTCAGGCGGTACCTGTGTTATATACTATTAGATTTATTTATATCGTCATTCATTTTCTGTTTTACATCCATCTCTGGTTTGTAGCAGCTGTTGAAAAATGATCTGCCTACAACTTTAACTATAGTGTTTTACTGCCCAATTGAGATGTTTAGTGCTTATAATTCCAAATACTACTGCACTGTAAAAACCTGTAAAAGTAAAGTACTCTTTCAAGTAAATCTCTCTTAACTTTCTGCTTTGGTTCAGACTGTTAACTTTCATGGATTCTATCAACTTGGAATTACATCACATCCCTTTTAAGTGGTTCTCTAATTTTGGTAAAAGCGTGAACGTCAGCCACTGTTTTCTTCGCATTACAGAATCAAGATGAGGAAAGAAGAATACATCTAATGACAAAATTCTATTAACATTTTCAGAAAGCAAACGCCTAAGTTGAAAAATTGGGAAGTTTCAAGTAGAGTTTTATTCAAATAAAGTAGCAGTAATGTACATTTGAGAGAAATCAGAGGATTTAAGTGCATCTAAACTAAAACAGTGACATTAGTTTTGCTTGTTAACTTAATTTGGTTCAACTTTATCCACATGGGTGTTACCAATTGAAACAATTCATTTAAACTGATACAAAAACACACTTTTTTCAGTGTAATACAGCCAAACTCTATAACTTCTTATGATGTTGTGTCACCGTGGTCTTCATGTTACCCACAACCCAACCCCGTGCTGCTCCTCTCAGCTCCCCGGCGTCACTTTACACAGATACCTGGCCACCCCCACCGCTGCGGGGAGGTCGGGACTCCCTCTTTTACTGCTGCTGCCGTGCGGCGGAGCGTCACAGTGCCAGCAGTCCGCGCAGAGCGCAGAGCGCAGCGCCACGCAGATCGTCCAACACGGGGAGCAGCTCCACACCTTTACTGGATTTGAATGACAGCAAGAGTGGATAAACTGAGCGAAAAAAGAAAGGTGAGCACGAAAAGGATTGTTATATTTTAATCGTCATCTGCAGATGTTTGAGCCGAGGCTGGTTTTTGTTGGCTGCTGGGAAGTTTTTTTTATTTTTTTCGGATACCGATCAGGGTGGACTCCGGTATGAATCGATCCATCTGCTCAGTGATGTGATTGTTTTACACTTTCCTTGAAGTTCTTAGTGTGTCGTATTGTAGTGAGTGCGCATATTTTGGAATGTGGGAGGTTGGCACAGAATAATTACGCGCTAACTAAACCCCAAAGCATGGCTGATTAGTCGCTCTGTTCCTTTACACATAACGATTCTCTGATGGCTTGACTAGTAAATATCAGTACTGGAGTAAGTTACTCGGTGGTGATTTTAATGTTGTTAATAGCAGCAATCAGCAAATTATTCTTAGGGTAATTTCTAAAGTGGATAAATATTTACATCCTCATGAGTTTGTGCTTTTAATATTTACTCCAAGGTTACTACAGTTTGTTTCCCCAAGAGTCACATCTGATATCTTTATGGTGTGTTTATGGCCTGCACCATATAAGCCAAATTCTCTCTGGCAGCACGTCTGTGATGGATGTCTGGCTGCCTGTATGCAGCTGAGTAGTCCATAAACAACAGACCACGATTTTGAATCGACCCAAAACTGTTTTTTTTTTATTAAGTCGACAAGTGCATCAATTCATCATCTGTCTTGTAAACCTATATGTGGACTCCCTGTTTTAACTCAGCCTTGAAGCCCACTTGGTAATAGCTGCACAGGCTAAAGTGGGTAAGAGAGAGAGAGAGAGAGAGAGAGAGAGAGAGAGATGACTGACCTCTGTGTTCTGATTAAAGCAAGTACAGTTAACCTGGGGCTGCAGGTTTATACCATCGTAACTGTAATTTACACTAAATATTTTCATCTGGATGAAATCAAATGAGGCTCTGGTTTCCAAACATCTAATCAGGGAGGAAAAAAATGGTTGAATCCTAATATATTAGGAATTTTCCACCAATGAGTTCATTTAATGCACGTCTGGCTTTGTAGACAGTCACACTCATAAAAACAAACATAAACTCATTATAAAGACTAAGACAGTGTTACTTGAGAGCTGTCAAAAGAACAAAAGTTAGCAGGGGAGGATCATTATGCAATCCACCCACTCTAAACTGAAAGGACTGTCTCCTCCGAGGAGGTTATCGTGTGCCCTCAGGGGTCAGCTCCACCTTGACCCACGTCCACCCCTCCAGGCCCGCCTGGCTTTGTAAGGCTCATGCATCCACAGTCGGTTTGATCAGCGTGGGGTCAGGAGCATAAACAGCTCAGCACTCAGACTAAACAGACCACACATGTCTTCTAAACACATTCACCCTGGGATGCATAGGTGAGCACGTGTCCGCTTGGCCTGGGAGCCGCAGCAGGAGGTTTAATTCATGCTTTTTGATGCAGATCATGAACTGGCAGGTATGCTGTTTCACTTCCAAAGGCAGACATGAGCTTTTCAGTTCCCTGTGTGTGTATTCCCCTGCAAGACTTACTAACTAAGAAAACAATCTCATCCTGAGGGGGTTCTTTTTAGGAGCTTTTGAAGACGTCACATGATGAGTTAGCTCACTTTTCTGACTGCTTTTAAGGCCTTAAGTGATGGCTTTTGCTGCGTTCGTCATGCAGGTTCTTGTTAAATTTCCTGACGTATAATGAATTGTTTGGAGACAGATTATGCCTCATTGCCTCCCTAACTTGCCTTACCTTAACTTTACTTTGAATCCCACAAACCGGGCCTGGCTCGCATCCCTGCCTGAAAGCTACAGTGAGTCACAGATCATAAACACCTACAGCCAACATCAATCCTTCACGTTGCGCGTAGGATACACAAGTCTCTCTGACTACCTGCAAAATTACAGTGTGGAGCAGTCGTAAACAGTTCCCCCCCCTTTTTTTTTCTAGCCAGATTCATGTGGCAGTGTGCTGATTTTCCAGCGGTAATACAGCTGCATCTGTGTTTGATGCTGATCCCAGCGGAGCAGACAAGAATACTTCCTCCAGTTACAGAGCGGAGAGCCCAGGGGCAGCGCTGTTCGCTGTAGTCTCCGTCTGGGCTGTTGACAGGAGCCCTGACATCATTAACATGACTAAATGAAATGTAATTTAGGTCTTTGCCTTCCAGCTTGGCTCATAGCACCAGCAGGGATATCGATGATGACGGCGTTAGTGATGCAACGCTTAAGAGAGCCTGAAGAATCACGTTGAGTTTATGACACGGGAGGCAGTTTGGTTGTATGCACTGCACTTACTCATACACATTTATGCACTCACCACAATATAACTATTTAAATAGAAGACAAAAAACCACCATACCGCTGACCTCCTCGTGATCTAGCACAGGTCAGAGAGTTGAATATATTATGGGATGAAATAGTACTCCGACGATTCCTCTTCTGCCAGTCTTTTATTTTCCAATTTTCTCCCTTTTTTCGTTTTTACGTACACTATTTTTTAGGTTGCACAAGTGTATAATTTAATTGGTTGGAGCCACATCAGCGCTGACTGTGGAGAACTAGCAGAAGCCACACGACGTTTCATGGTTTTAGTTCACAATGGGGCCCTCATGTGTTTCTTATCACTTAAAGTTCAGTCGTACCACAGCAACACTCAAGGCTGGGTTTTGTTTTCTTGCTCGGCACAGTCTCGAAACACTGCTTTTTAAAGAGACGTCCAACATTTGTTTTGTTTAATCCTCAGTTTGTTGCATGGTTGCATGTAAAGACCCCCAAGTTATGGCGGGAAGTTTGAGTTTCTAATTAGAGGGGAAAATGTCTCCTGCTAATGACATCATCTTCCCCCCTGGCACCGTGTTAAAGGAGTTTGTGTGTGTGTTGCTGCACAGCAGCTGGTTTTAGACGTTTGACATTAACAGCAGTGCGAGACTTCAAACACTCACACACAAACCGTCAAGCTTATAATTTGGCTTTATTGCTCCTTGTCGCCTTGTTTGGGCCATTGTGGCAAAAGTCTCTGGGAACTTCCTTACTCACTGTTTTCAGGAAGAACTACTTGAAAAAGAGGAAGAACGTGTTAAAAAAACTCAGCTTCTTAGTTACATCCAGCACCAGAACAACATACTGAAGCAGGCACCCTATGATAACGTAATACCCACTCTCACAAAGGGCTGCTGGCTGAAAGGGGGAGTAAAACCTACCATCTAAGTACCAAGCTGGTATTTTTTCTGTTTTGTAAACACCAGAGTGTGGAATCATTTCTCACTGAAGTAATAATTTGATGAGAAAAGACATATTCTTCTAAACAGATGAGTCTGTGAAGCTTGGAACTTTCACTTGTCTTATCTTTGTTGAAAGATTTACAATGCTTACTCAGGAGTTTGTTCCCAGAAATCCAAATTTACACCAAATGCTTGTATCTAATTTTGGCACCACAACTGATGTGATCGTTGCCAGTCACGTCGTTCTCTGAGACCTGAGACCAGTTTCTGCTGTTACATCACTGCCAGCTCCATGGGCTCATAACTCAATCCATAATTCATTGTGGGCAACGAAATCATGAAACATGATCTGACAGATCTCCGTCTCCTGACGGTCCCCTGTGTGTTGGTGACAGCTGTGAGAGCAGCCCTTCTCCCCGCTTCTCTCACATCCCCGTAATTGTTCACAGTCCGACCAGGCGCCTCTGTAGCTCTGCCACATCCCATCACACTCAGCCGTGCCACGCTGTGTCCGTTCAGCCGTGAGGAAGATGACACAGGCCTGGACATTCCCTTTCGACGCAGGAGGAGACCGTCGATGCAGCTCCGCGGACTCCTCCAGATGTTTTCTGATTCTGACAGAAGCAAAGGGAGGAGAGGAGGAGTGGGAGGAGAGGGACGAACAGAGGGGTCTCTTTCCGCGGCACTCGGGGGGCTGTTAGCGGGGAAGCAGGTCGGTTGATCGGTAATGAGAGAAGACAGCTGGCAGGTTCAGCGGAGGTTAACAGCTAAGCGTAGATGGCAGCGAGGAAAAACAGAAGAGCCTCGTTTAAGGTCTTTGTGGAAGAGGTTAGGGGAGATTCTTTTCTTGGAGTTTGAAGTTTCGGGTTTATTTGAGGTTTTGTTCTGGGAGAGAAAAAAAAAGATTAAGGTTGGATTTTACAATGAATATTTCCTTGACCTTTTTCTTGGTGTTGCTTATTGTGATGATGATGATGGAATTGTACAGATGTAATTTTAACAGTGAGATTTGAGTTTTTTGATTGTTTCTGACTTGGTTTTCAGTTGACAGGACACAAAGGGTCACATATTTGTATTTCTGCACCAAACATGATTTATAATTTGCAACAGTAGTCGTGCTCTTGTTTACTCATGTTTTCGGCTTTAATCAATCGGCCACCACACTGTCCTGATCGAGCAGACAGCTACATTAACTTTTTATTAAAATAAGAATTAATAACTAACTTTGTCCTTTACAAACCAGGATTGGACGACGATTTCTCATTTGCTCATTCAATCAGCAGCATTTGAGAAAGTTCTCATTATAAGAGGCGCTAAGTGGAGCGTTTTATTTGATCAGGAGTTGGACCCATTGGACCCGCTCTGCCGTGCGGATAGCAAATCAATGCTGACACATTTAAAGTGACGGAGAATCTGTAGTAACACGGGAGGAGGAGGAGGGGTTGGACTGGGTTTGGCGCAACAGCCAGAGATGACCTAGTGTTTGGGGACACAGCACAGCTGGAGCAGCTTTTGAGCCCTAACCAACTCCAAACAGCCCTGTCACAAGCACTCACAAGTTAGTGCTAACCTTTTTGGTGCTAACATCAGCAACATGTGTTTAGAATAATTCTGCAAATGCTGTGTGAGCGTCCTTTTAGCAACCTGGTGTGTCTGTGTGAAAAGAGGGTGGAGTTACACAGATGTTACACAAATTTTCTTTGCCTTTTGTCTTTCTGGGAGTTCTGGCGCGAGTTCATCTGTCCTCACATGTGGCCTTTGCTTACCTAAGTGTTGAAGACAACCTAGATCATAACTGT